AATGCATGCAGGCTTAATCATAGTACTAAGGTACATGAAACAGTGAAGAAATTAGGGCAAAGACAATAAGGAGGTGCCTGCACACTCTTAATCACCTGAAATGTTTTGTGGAGATTATAACAGCTGGATGATGTGGGTAGGGTTGGGAGGTAAAAATAATCATGAGTATACAAAAACTGATACTGGGTTGGTTGAAAGCTCGACTCAGTGCAGCAGTTTCTGACAGTTGAGAGGATGTGAGTAGGAAAACAGAAAGAACAGGGAAAATGTGTCCTTTACCACCCCAAAATGCCTTCCCAGCTCCAGCGACTGACAAGTCAGGAACTTGCTGAGTTAGATCAAGAGTCTTTGACGATTCCTCAGCTGCTTTTTAAGACCATGCAAATTTTGGTATCCACTATATCCTGAAGCAAAGACTTCTTCTAGCTTAACTATAGACTGTATGAAGTATTATCTCGTCCTGTTTGTTTTGAGCCTTCCAAGTTCTGCTTTCACCTGCTGTACCTCAGTTCTTGTGTCTGATAAGTTAGTGAACAATCTTGATTCTTGGTCCTGATTTGGACTCCTGAAGATTTCACACAGACTGTGATATTATCTCCCTTCCACTGCAGACTGAAGAGACCCAGCTGAGTTGGCCATAACCCATCTGGAAGCCCTTCTACTATTTCTGACAATTCTAATAATTTTAAAAAAATCTTTTCTAGTTCTACCATATTATTTTTGAGGTAGGGATACTAGAATTGCACGGGCACTTAAAGATGCAGGTGCAAGAAGAATTTATACAATGGCATTTTTTCTTTTGATCTCTATTTCTCTCTTAATAAATTTTAACAATAATCTTAACAGTTCTCAATTTCCATTTTGATCACTGCTGAGCCCAGAGTTGATGTTTTCCCAGAACCACCTCTCATAACCCCAAGGCCTTTTTCCTCAGTGGTAAAAGTCAACTCAAAGTACCTCAGTATAAATGTAAAGTCAGAATTGTTTTCTTATATGTTATCTTTTCATATTTATTTGATTTTAATGCCATCTGCCATTTTTGCACTGACTCTGTTAGTAACATACAGTCATTCAGAGTTTTTCTGTTAGCCCTACCCTGAATAACTATCATCAGCACATTTTGTAAATCACCACTCACCTCCATTCCTATCAGTTATTTATCCATATTTCACAACCACTAGCAGCCTATTTTTTTTACTTCCTTTGAGGAGGAATCTTACTGATTACTTTTGGAAATCACCATAGATGGTTAATTGAATCTCCATCAGCTTGTTGACTTCTTCAAAAAAACGTTTCTGAGACACTAATTTGCTTAAAAAAAGCTATAATGACTTCCCCTAATGTATCATCTTCTCCGTGTGTCCACTAAGTATTTTCTGTTACTTAGCATAATTTCTACTTATTTGTCTAGCAAGGACATGGGCATCCATGTCTACAGCTTCCATAACCTTCTGTGAAATCCTTTAAAAAAATCTAGTGTCACATGAGCAACTCTCCAGACTCCCCTGATGTCTGGGTACTTTTGAGTGAGAAGTCAGAGACACCAGTTAGTACCTGAACCACTTCATCTCTGAGCTGCTTGAAAACTCCTGGTTGAACACCATCTGGTCTCAGCAGTTGGCTGCTGCTCACTTTGTTAATGTGTTCCTTCATCTTTTATACTTGCACTTTAATCCAAGACATGTTTTCCCAATTAGTCCCCTTAAATAAGCAGCCCAGTAGGGGAGTTTACCCACACTCATCCCTCCCATTCACAAATGCAAAAATAAACCTAGCTTTATTCTGCTCCAGATGTTTCTTCTGTATATTAAACAATCTACTTGCCTTACAGAGCGGTCAAACTCCAGCAGGCTCCCTGATTTGTTCCAGGAAAGACTTGCTATTATTTTTTATATCATTTGCAAGCTGATCCTTAAACCTCCTTCTGGCTCATTATCATGAGGTTACAGTCCCTTCTTTTAGGGCCCTTTTAATGAAACGTGTATTTTGTTTTAGATTGCTTCTCTTTTTTGAAAAGAAAGTAGAATACTACTGATTTTCTTTTCCATGGTGCTACAAGAGTGTGGAATCCAAGGATGCCACAGCTACTGCTACAGCGTGGTTCTTTGTTAGTAGTACTATGACACTTTCTAGGACCAAACCAGGGATCCCTTTTCCTCTTCTGTCTTCCCAACTAGCAGTCACAGACAGTTTCTAAAATGTTAGATACAAAAAACCTACTAAAATTGCAATTTAGTACAATTAGATATTAAAACTACCCCGTCCTGTGACATTTACCCAACCTAATTTGTGTTACTGAAGTAATTTATGATTGTGTTTCCTGTCCCTCAGATTCTTATCTCCCTGCCTTGTTAGCTGGACTGGTGATGCAGTCCTAGTACTGCATTTTTCCTACTTATTTCTGGGACTTCAGTCCACTGAGATCCTATCTTATTACTGACAGAATTAACTGCTATCTACCTTTCAGGTAGGAGAGCGGGACTGGATATGAAAATGACAAATATCCATGTGGTTTTGCCTTCATCCTCCATGCAAACTGGGCAGGTCCCACCTTAGACAGATGACTAAAGCCCTTATATACACTGTTGTAGGTATACAATTTATGTCTAATCGCAGGAGAAACTTCACTTCTTTAAACCACTATGGAAAACAGCCTGTACTTTTAGCAACAGACACCCAGTTACAAGAGTACTCTGTTGAGTGCTCTTCTCTATGAACTACAGTGGGACTGTCTAAGAAATTCTTCTGCAGTTACAACAGCAGTGTCACTATTCTGTAATGCATTCACCAATCAGAATAAACATTAAAGCATAACACAGTCTAACAAAACCATTAGAGCTGTGCCACAAAAGTAATTACAGAGCAATTTACTTAAATGGAGCATCCTTCTAAAGTGGTGACTTACCTTACCCCAAGCATCAAAGCACGACTGCTGGAACATGGGAAATAGCAGTCTGTGATCCAGACCCTTGAAAACTGCAAAATTGATGATTGAAGCTGAAAACTTTATTCTTGTATGGACCTAATTACTCTCAGAGCTGAGATCTCTGAGGTGTCTGAGTCAGCAGTGGCTTGCTCCTATCCAGTGATAAAAACTGAAAGGCATCCAGGGTCCCAGTTTACCTACATAAGAGACATCTCTGAGAATCCACAAGTTCATATCCACAGATCTCAGAGATGATGGTGGAAATGAACAAACATGTTCTTAAATGCTGCTATTTCTCTTTTTTCCCCCCCATAAATGCCATTTTTTTCTGTTATAGTGATGTTTTTCTTAGATTTATTAAGGTTTTATTTCTGATCCACTGAGATCACTCCTGTATTTTTTTTTAAATTAATATAACACATCTTTGTTGCAGCTGCTCTTCTTCAAGGCTGCTTGCAAAGCCTGGTTGTCTTCTGGCCAAAGCTCAATGTGACAGCCTTGTGATACCCTTGTGCACTCCTGGCTGTACAGTCGAGGTCTTTATTTACATCTTCTGGCTTCATCTGAAAGTCCAAATTAACAAACAGTTGCTTGCAATTAAGGAGCAGGACTAGCATTAAGGGCTAATCCTAAATAAATCTTCTGTCCTTGGTTGTGCCAATGACTGGAAGAACGGGGCAGGGAACATTTTGTTTCTGGTTTATAGATTCTTTCTCTTGAATTGTGCAAAAAGTGATCAAGGATTTGCCCTGACTACAACTCGAACCATCAAACAGCCAACAGAACACAGAAGCAATACCTCATCTGCTGTAGAGAACAAGAGAGGTAGTTTAGCAGAAGGAACAACCAGATATGGATTAAAAAAAAATAAATCAGTGTTTATCTTGTACAAAATTTGAAAGCATCCAAACCATCCTGTTTCAGGACACGTGCTCATCCACTCCTGACAGTAAGGGAACATATATACTGGTCAGAAAATCATGGTTGTTTTCAGATCTCCTTGTGCAGCAGTTCTTCTGGTGGGAAAGCAGTGTGGACCTCTACCACATCACCCCACTTTAATTGTGAATGACAGCGCAGGGACAGTTTTATCCCACCTTGCCTAAGAGCAAGCATTTCCCCTGCTCTCTCCTGACATGGACTCTGCAGTGTGTTATGCACTATAATACCAGCCCTAATATTACCAGCTCCTGATGTCTGGAATCACCGATTGCTTTGCATCAACTATCTAGGTGAGGGAGCAGTTTGTAGATACCGCGGCAATAAACC